CACCACAGCTCACCAACAAACTCCTTGAGCAAATGATGACTACAGACCAAAAAGAGAAAGCAGGCACAGAGCAGAACACCCAGGCACAGATTCATTCACTGACTGGGGAAGTACGGTGACTGCTACACATGCTGTTAAACATGCTGTCAAGGACAACCAGCCACTAACCCATTTTTCACGTTGATGGCAGAGCTGAGTATTTTCACATTCACAAATACTGATCTCTTCCAACTTCTGTCAAATCATTATGCTACTGACTAACAATAATTGCTAAATTTTTCTTTACAGTTTTTTAGAAAGATTTTTACTAAAGATTAAATAAATAATTTTTAAAAAGCATCCAAACTGTTCAGCATTATGCTCTTACTATGCTCTTAACATGCCCTAATGTGACAACCACTCTTCTTGAGCATGACTTGAATGATTCTCAAGGCAAATGGCTACTGTACTCAGCTCACTCTCCAATCTCTGTGATGGATAATAGCACATAAAATCTGAAGTCCTCGTTACCACTGCATAAAGTGAAAGACAGATTTAAAACTCCTTTGAATTTTTTTTGGTTTTGCAAAACCAGAGTTGATTTTATGGTAAAACATCAAATCTGATTTCTTACAAATCGATTTTTCTAAAGTCAGAGATGTTTGGATACAGCTTCCATGTTTCTGTGGAGGAGAACAGACCTTTATGTTATGGTATATAATTACATACTATCAGAAACTGAGGCAGTCACTTACAGAGACATGTTTGAACCTAATATATACATTTATGTTCCAGCCTGACAGTAGTGGCATTCATCACACACGGTGCCATGTGCGTTTAGCTCTGCTGCTTAGCTATTTACGGCCAAGCTATGAAAGCAGTTTGTCAGCAACTTTTTTTGAGTGTTCACATTACCAAATACATTCATTTTGAATTCACTCTAATGTAATTATCAAATTCGGCAGCAAGCTGGTAACACAGCTAAAGGAAAATCCCAACCTGCCTCAGTGTTTTCATGCTGTAATTGAAAACAGATGGCAACTCGTGTAATTTATGCTTTTCTACAATCAGTAACATGTTGGTATAAGATAAAAATGCTAAGACTGAATTGCATCTGCTTCAACAACACCATATGCTAGTGCACAGTATAAATATTTATCCAAACCTACTTCATCTTCTCATGTAAAGCTCAGTCCCATGAAAAAGTGCAAGTACCCTTCAGATACCTTCAATGAGCACTGAAGCATCTCCCCAGGGCTTTAAAGGGTTAGAGGCCCAGCACCAAACACTGCGGTATCTTCCCTTTCCTGAGTTTCATGGAGAGGGTTAAATGGAGGCATGTACATTGTGCCTTATTTATACAAGATAAATCCCAGTCTTCAAGCTCACATATGTGGTCCTTCAAACTCCCTGGTGCTGACTGAAATGAAGGAGAACTAGAATAGACTAGAAAGTTTGAGTGGCCATTGGCAATTTGTATGACAAAAGGGCTTTAGGTATAATAGCTATAAATACCAATTTGTTCAAAATCAGTTTAGGGAATCAGACATTCTTTAGCATTCCCCAAAGGCTTGAGTTGGGCGCTGATTTCTCAAACCAATGGGAAGAACAGATAATCAGCAAAATGACTGATAAATTTGTCCCTCTCACAAGCCTCACACTGAGCTAGGTTTGCTCATTTTGTCACACTCTGTCACAGTGATGTCACACTAACAGCATGTGATGCATAACCTAAGTCACTAGTTTGAAGTCCAGTTGTATAACTTTCCAAATACATGCACCTTAAACACAGCAATGGATTTACAGAATAAAACACCGAAGAAAGGGAGAGTTTTCCTGACAATGACTGGCAGAGAACCAGCTTTTGCAGCCAGTTAGTACTGAATATTAAAGTAACCTGGGAACTTCAAAATCCTCCTGTTCCTGTTTGCCACTGCTGACGACAGCAGACAGCTAAACAGAGCTGCAAATAACTTAGAAGTACACATCACAACACTGACTCCTTTCATGGCCCCACGGCGCCTCCAGCTCCCACTTGTTAATGTGCTTACAGCAACCACCCTCTTCACAATGCTGTCACAGGCAACCACACTTCAACAAACCAGGACCAAAAATATTTTAATAAAGCTAATTGATGAGGTATTTCTTGTCAGCTTCATATCTAAAACCTCGGACTGTAAATGGTAATCCTACTTACCAGCCCCAGAAGAGGTATCAAGACCTAAAGCCAAAAAACATAATACCCTCCCACACATCTTCAGCAGACCATGCTAGTAGGGATTTTCTCAGAAACAAACTGTCTGAAAATTCTCTGAGAACAGGATGTCATGTGTAAGGAGATGGCATGTGCTGCCACGCCAAGGTGCATGTGTGTGACGGAACCTCGTGCCTCCCATGCCCACTGCACAGCCACTGTGTGTGGTCAGAGCACTGTCCCAAGCTCATTGAGATTTCTACTCAGACTCCCAGCTCACAGCACTTTGGAGCAGGCCAGGAGCCCAGCCAAGGTCATACTGAAAGCAAGCCACCACAAAATCCTGCAGGTAGGTTGAACCTGCAATGTTTACTGCTTTCTATAACACATGGTAGAATTTTGACTGCTCAAACTGACGGCCTACAATGAGATTGTAGGCAGCAGTTCTCCCTCAACAATTTGTCCAGCATAATGCAAAGACATGAAAATAGTGCTCTCCAGAAGAGGTAAGTGCAAAATCACAAGCTTTACAAACAGACACTTCCAAAAACAACTATACTGGATGCATCTCCTTAGGAGGAAAAACCTTGCTGCTACTGCCAAGAACTTTTCTACAAACTGCAAACTCCAAGTCTTGGCTCTTCTTCAAATTCTTGCCCTTTTCATCATAGCCAACTTTCCTTGTTAGCACTTCTTTGGTGTAGCACTCTTTCTGCAGACAAAAGCCTCTTGCACCAGCCCACCAGAAGTTACCATGCCCAACAGCCTATTTTCAAAGTGTCCTTCCCGCAGCTCCACAAAAGGGAGGGTTTAATTTCAGGGAGCTGTCATCTAAAGCCTGTCACTTGATTCCTTTAAATTTGCCAGATTGAGGAGTTCTGTAAACAGATGGATTAAGTGACATAGATATTTTAAAATTTTGAATACTGCACTATGGTTTACATACTTATTGCCATGGGAACATCTCAACAAAACCCCTTATTTTCAAAGAAAAGTGGCATTTCTTCACTGGGTTAGAAGTGTTCAATGTTTCCAAAAATGGGCACTGATTTTGGAGTCTAAACAGGAGCTCATCTAATATATGGCCATAAAGTTTTATGTGCAATTCTGCTCTGAAAAGTGGTTTTATATAAAGGTAACAACTTTGAAAATAATCAGATCTGTCCTTTGTGTAAATTCACAGCAATATATCCCAGTTTTACAATACTGTTTGCTCCCCTCAGGACGGCAAACTATTTTGCATTCTTATGGTTTGAATGGTTCAGGTAGACCATTAGATTATACATTTGACAATAAAGTGTTATTTTTACAAGTCAGGTTTCAGAATAGCTCTACTTCACTGCTACATTCAAAGAATAAAAGATGCTGTAAAATATCAAACTCCCAAGTTCAGGGTCTAGAACATGCACATGAATACATTCATTATTTTTAAATTTAGGTCCTTTAAACTTTGGGCAGGATTACTATTTGAAAATTATATTCTTAATATAATAATTGTAACTGTATATTATATTCGGGCATTGTATAAAACATATAAAAAAAATACCATCTCCCTCAGGAATCAAGCTGTTTGCCAGCGGGATGTGTCAGGGTGCTGCATGCACCAACAGGCTCTGCAGCTGCCATTCCCTGTCCCAGGGGTTCTGCTTTCCTGTACTCAGAAGAAGTAAACGTTTCAAAGACAGTATGTTCTTGCAAGTTTCATTAAAAAAACATAAATCAGCAGACAGGAGAAATCCCTGTAGTGCACTTGCTAAGGAGGGTGCCATGGCAGGCCTGGCACTGTGCAGTGGACAGGATGTACATCACTGGAGTCACAGCAGCACACACTGCCTCCAGCCTGGTGGGTGTGAACATATGGGTGGGAGGCAGCTGGAGTGAGTGTGATGGGAAATGGAGATGAATTAGAAGGTGGGACAAAATTCATGGCAAACTGGGCTGCATGTGGAATACATTTAAATCTTCATCTGTGTTGTTACCATAAAATAAAACATGACATAAACTGACAATTTAATCTTTCTGTCTGGCCCATCCTGGACACTGGAGCAGGTGTAGTAGCTCGTTTCCAGTTTTTGTTTTCATTTGTACTTGACATAATGCTTTGCTTTTATTTTTCCCATTGCACAAGGCAGAGATTAATTCACAGATATATCCAGGATGTAATCCAAACCCATAGGTATGTCAATGGGCTCTGCATTAGTAGTGCAAAAGACCTCCCACGGAAGGTGCACTTATTGATTCTTAAATGAAATATGAAACTACTTCAACTCTTTAAGAAATGTGAAAGTATCATCCTTTCTTCTTTCTAAAATGTCTTGAATCTTAACTGCTTTACAGCAAACAATGGGCTATGCTAGACTCACTTTCACTAGGTATGTCTGACTTTGCCTCTTCCTATATAGGCAAAGTCCAGAAGCTACATAAATTGCAAAGTAAAGAGGGAAGGTATAACTGTACAGAGTTGAAAAAAACATGAAAATAAAATTTAAAAAAATCAACCAAAAATCCAAAACACCACAACCAGCAAAACCAGCCAATCAAATGAAAAAAAACCCATCCCTAAAAGAGAAAAGGTCAGGAAAGCAACTTGGAAAGGATAAATGAGTTTCATGTGAAAAAGGAACCTCGAGAATCTCAAGGACAGAAGAAAAGAAACAGGAGGGGGGTGAAAGGCAGTAGAACTCACTGTGCATAAACGCCTGAAACTGGGACAAAGGTACCCAATGCTGGCAACAAAAACATCACTCCCTCTGCCCTACAGGCAGCCCAATACCTTCCCTGAGCAGCACAAAATCTCCTGGGATATCATCCTGTTTTGTAAACCCACCTTCATCCCAGCTGCAGCTGCTGGCCCACTGGGGTCCACAGCCTGGATGTGGCAGGGCTTGCTCCCCCGCACCACAAAGCCCCAGCCCACCGCGTCGCCGACGATCTGGAAAGTTAAAGAAGGACATGATCACCTTCATGCAACTCCAAGAAATTCAAGTGGGCAACATCTAAGTAGTCCAAGACATAATTTCAACATCTCCATACTTCCAACACATAGTGTTGAAAGGACATTGTGTGCAGGCTGCTATGTCACTCATGGGAAAGGCTCTACCCAAATGATTCCTCTTACTTTTAATGAACTTTTTTTGCTGAACTAGGGAGGCTGTCAAAAGCAATGCTTCCAATGACTAGGTTCAAAAATGTCTTTACAGAAAGGCTCTAATAGTACATATGAGTCAAAATTTCTGGCCCATCATATACAAAGATCCTGGTGGAGAACTTCAGTTTAGGTAGGCGATCCACTCCTGCAGAGCAAGCATTACCAGGAGCACCAAGTCTAGATGAGTTTGTATAATACAGATGTTATTGGGTTTATGTAATTTTACACTCCTTTTAAGTCAGCAGTACTACATTGGCATAAAGACAGGATAAACAAATGCAGAAGCAGACCTGAAATGTGTGGAAGTACTGATAATGGAGTTTGGGATTTCAAAGTACAAACCTCAGCAAATGCAAATAAGTCCTAATTAATCCATCAGAAAATGTCTGTTTGGATGGCCTCATGCATATAACATGCAGAAAATAAAGAAAAATGTTGAAGACATACCGTGAAAGTTTTTCTTACGTATGGGGCTCCAGGCGTCAAGAGCTCATCAGCAGTCACGGGTCTTTTTAATACTGTGGAAGTACAGAAATGAATATTCAATATAAACATTCCTCTGGAGTGTCTCCTTATAAATCAGGTACAGTGCTGGGATACACAGTGTCTCCTTATAAATCAGGTACAGTGTTAGGATACAACATCTTCTTGGTCTCACTTTCCATAGATTCTTTCAGTTCCTGCAGACTTGCTTGAAAGTAGTAAGAGAGCCAAGGAAAAGCCTGCAGAATAACTCTGAGTACAAATGATGAGATCTTTGGAAAATTGGGGCATTTAGCCAACACACTTTGCTGTCTGCAATCAAAATCCCCTAAACACTATCACAAAGATCAGAAGTGGCTGTCCTGTGTCCAGTGTTGAAACAAGTGAATAACCTTCCTGGCATGGAGCATCTTTTCTGCCCAGCTTGCTGTGTGCTTGTTGGGTGCTCTCTACTATTTCATCTGAGTCAGGTTTGAATCACAGAATTGAGCAACAAGAAAAGCCTGGTTGTGTCAGAAATAATCTCCAGAGATTTCTGCAGTTGTAGGCACAGATCTGTAACTCCAGGAACAGACTAGGTAACCTATAGCTGGCTGGTATTTTACATGAATGGAAATACCAGTAAGTTTCTGCAGGTGAGTCCCCACTGCCTTGCTATATAATGGGGTAATTTTTCTCCAAACAAAGTGAATTTAAAGTTCTGCCAAATCAAATCAGTACCATCCTGTGTGCCATTTTTTTATCTGTCTATAAATGCTTCACAAGATGGAGCATAACAGAAAGATAAATGTTTATCACCCAATTTGCCTGCTTCACCCATAAAATTATGGCTGTTTTTCTTTCAGCGATAAATAATTTTGATGATGTCTGTCTTTTCAGTCACAGGTGGGAGACAATTTCCCACAGATGGTATTTCTAGCATACAAACTAGTATGTATATTTTTATTTTCCCATTAATTTTGACAAACTGTCATTTAGTCAGTGTTACACTTTGCAAAGTGTATCTGGTCAACATAAAAAAAAATAAATGATTGTGCTCTTTCAACAAGTCAGAATCAGGTATGTCATCCACACAGGGCTCCCTTATGTGCCTCCCTTCATTATACCTCCTGAAAATTTTTTTTTGTTTGATGACTGTTTTTCTACATGATTGGTCAAGTCATTACCTGGGTGTATTTTAAGTGTTTGCTGCAAGAGAACTCATCTGACAATAAATATACCTCTGCCTTGTGTTGAGTAGCACACAGTTCAGTGACAGGCTCTGGGTCTGGATAGCAGAAAATATTTGTGAACAGAATCACTTTATAGACCAGCAAAGGATTAAGAATTGCCTCATAACATTTACATCTGACAGCCTTTATGTTAACATGTGTGAGCTGACGTGTGGACCTGTACTTGCACTATGGGAGAAATAACCCTACATTGCAGTAATTGTATAACTCTTAAGAATCAGCCTGTTTATAAGCCCATTGCTGTCTTCTTTGAAATATGAATCTATTAAAGCTATTCAGAGTTTGAAAACTAGTCCTAAGGGAAAACTGCTTTTGAAAAATAAAGAATTTATGCAAGGGCAACATCAGCCTATCCTTTTTCTTCAAGTGTTGCATAATCAGCTGCATTAAAATAAACTTGTTCTCACTACTCATGGGTTGACACTTCATATAAAATCAGAACCATAAATGAACTGAATAGTTGGCATACTTCAGATAACATACACATTTATGGACAGTGCATGAATGCTGTTCTATCTATCCCTAAAAATTTTCCAGGATATAATTAATGTACTGGAGACAAAGAGCTCCCCATACAAAACCTACCAGAGCATTTCTGGGAAGTAAACCTGAGAGATATTCTGCCAAAACATGATACTGTGGTGCTCTTCATATAGGGGCAAGCCCCTCACATATAGGGATAAACATATTGGAAGGCAGTGCTGAATGCCCAACAGCAACAACCACTAGCACTGACAGCACTTCCCAGGTCTGGCGTAGGGGGTTATGTCTTCTGAGCATACAATCCTACTGAGTCCTTCCAATTATTTTAATTCAGAGCCTCATACTGAATTTCCAGCAGAGCCTATGGAGAAGGAAGGAAATGTGCTAAAAGGAGAGAGAAAAAAATACCCCCATAACCATACT